TTACTCAACTCTATTCCTGAAGTACGCAACACATCTCCTTGTACGTAGTAGACTGGAGTGTGCATATAATAAACGTGTGTTCCTTCACTCAACAAAGATTTATTGAGGGGTGCCTGGGTGGCTCAGGGGGTTGAGCGTCTGACTTCAGCTAAGGTCATGATGTCAAGGTTCTTGGATTCCAGCCCCGCGTCAGGCTCCGTGCTGACAGCTCAGAGTGTGGAGCCTGCTTCCGATTCTGTGTCTCCCTCTCTGTCTCTGCCCCTCCTCCACTCAAGCTCTCTGTCTCTCTCAAAAATAAACAAACATTTTGAAAAATTTAAAAAAAGATCTATTGAGTACCTACTGTTTGGCCAGGTACTGTGCTTGCTGTTGAGCATTGAAGAGACATGTGGTCCTGTCAACAGTCCAGCAGAGAGACAGGCATTAGGCACTTGATTGCAGTGGGATGAGTGAGAAGCACAGTGTCTCAAGTACAACGAGACCCTGCAGGGAGAGGCTAATCTGGGAGAGTCTCCCTTAGGAACTGGTTTTTACAGTAGGAACTGAAGATAAGTAGAATTATTTCAACTAAGATTTTGAAGGAAGTGTTACAGCCAGAGGGAACTGCCTCTCCAAAGAAAAGAGTTTTATGCCCTTAGGGAACCAAAAGGCCAGCTAACCCCTAGGGATTGAGGGGAGAGAAGCATCTGCAGTGGCCCTGGAGGTAGACCTAATAAAATCAGTTAACATTGGTGTGCTTGATACTGAGAACAGTGGGTTTCCAGTGAAGGTTTTTAGACCGGAGAAAAAATTGACCAGATTTGCATGTCTTAAAATCTTTCTGGAGGCTCTCGAAAGTTTAAGAGGCTTTTATAATTGTTGAGGATAGTGATAGTGACGAAGTATTAAATAAATGAATAGATGAACACCAAGCAACAATTCATCACCAACTAATTCATATAGAATATAATACAAACGTATTGGTTTGCATGTTCTTTTATATTTCGTTGAGACCCTGTCCTCTTTACTTTAGATCTGGGAATCCACAGATCTTTTCTTTTTTTTTTTTTTAATTTTTTTTTCAACGTTTTTATTTATTTATGGGACAGACAGAGACAGAGCATGAACGGGGGAGGGGCAGAGAGAGAGGGAGACACAGAATCGGAAACAGGCTCCAGGCTCCGAGCCATCAGCCCAGAGCCCGACGCGGGGCTCGAACTCCCGGACCGCGAGATCGTGACCTGGCTGAAGTCGGACGCTTAACCGACTGCGCCACCCAGGCGCCCCTCCACAGATCTTTTCAAGCTACAGATTATTAACCATTTTTAGGGTGATTACCTCCACAGATGGATCTTACTAACTGTTGACATAATTGTGCGGCAGAGTAATCAAATCTTGAAAGACCTTTCCATCTGCCCATGTGCTCTGGTGGGTCCCACATGTCTTCTTTCCATCCTACCCCACCTGCCACAACCCCTCCTTGCTAGCACCGCATGGTTCCTCTACTCCTGAGAAGCCTCAAAGGACTTTACAAGAGAAACAAGTGTGTAGTTCTGGCAGAGGAGCAAAAGCAAACGTGGAAACTGAGGAATATTGGAGTAAAGCCAGTTTCTATGTTAATTAGTGTGATTTTTACAGTAACTCTTTGGCTGCCTTAAGCATCTGAAGTCAATCTGAATAACAGTTCGGAAAGTGGTACTCTTGGAATTCTAATGTCATTATAGTGTCATTAGGGAGTTTCTTTTCTAACAATAGCTGTTAACTTGGCTAAAGTTAATAGAACTAAAGTGATGTCAACAACAGATTCCATTCTAAACAAAATAAAAATAAATTAACGCACAGTTTAAAACTCTGAAATCATTTTTATTCTGTACTTCATTTTATAAAGCATTTGACATTATAACATAGGTTAGCAATAGTTAATAATGTTTGGGGGCGCCTGGGTGGCGCAGTCGGTTAAGCGTCCGACTTCAGCCAGGTCACGATCTCGCGGTCCGTGAGTTCGAGCCCCGCGTCAGGCTCTGGGCTGATGGCTCAGAGCCTGGAGCCTGTTTCCGATTCTGTGTTTCCCTCTCTCTCTGCCCCTCCCCCGTTCATGCTCTGTCTCTGTCCCAAATAAACAAATAAACGTTGAAAAAAAAATTAAAAAAAAAATGTTTGGAACGTCCCTTTAGAAGGTTATGACTTTAGGGGAAAATATCTTTTTTTTCTCTTCCAGTGACTTTCTAAAAAAGGGGGAAAACTTTGTTTTATGATATAATTAGAGCTGTAGATATCAAGTGTGATACTTCAAGCTGTGTAAATCTGAATAAAAAAAATTCTAGGGGCACCTGGGTGACTCAGTGGGTTGAGCATCCGACTCCTGATTTCAGTTCAGGTCATAATCCCAGGGTCGTAAGATCTAGCCCTGCATTGGGCTCCGTGCTGAGCACGGAGCCTGCTTGGGATTCTCCCTGTCTCTCCCTCTGCCCCTCTCCCCCACTCACACACACACTCTCTCTCTAAAATAAAATGTAAAAAAATTCCAAAGACAAAGATCAAGATTTTAAATGTCTTATTAAAACACATTTCCTCACCAGAGGGAAGGCTGTAAACACCATCCAAGCACTGGAATCTCCTGTCAGGGTGACTTGATGAGGTTGATAAGCACCCTCTGTGACAAAATCATTCTTTGAATCTGAGAGGTTTCGGGGCGCCTGGGTGGCGCAGTCGGTTAAGTGTCCGACTTCAGCCAGGTCACGATCTCTCGATCTGTGAGTTCGAGCCCCGCATCAGGCTTTGGGCTGATGGCTCAGAGCCTGGAGCCTGTTTCCGATTCTGTGTCTCCCTCTCTCTCTGCCCCTCCCCCGTTCATGCTCTGTCTCTCTCTGTCCCAAAAATAAATAAACGTTGAATCTGAGAGGTATCTATCTGGTATTATATAGAGGTTGGGGTTTTTTTTTTTTGCTTTTAAACCAAGGGAAACTGTATTTTGATGAAGTGGCAAACATTATATCTTACTACTATATAAAAGCCAATTTGTCATGGTTATAATTCATCAACAAATAAGAGTCATGACAGCAGTGTGTCTTTGTAATGCCTGAGAGTGCCTGGTACCAGGGACTGTACACAGACATTCCGAACTGTCTATCCCCACCTACTGACTGGTAAATCATCGTCGTCATCATCATCATCATCATCATCATCATCACCATCATCATCATAGTAGTAGTAATAAATGTATTGAGTGCTTAACAAATGGTAGGTACTTTTTAAAGTTTATTTATTTATTTTTAGTACTCTCTACACCCAACATGGGGCTTGAACCCACAACCCCGAGATCAAGAGTCACACGTTCTTCCAACTGAGCCAGCCAGGCACTTTGGTAGGCACTTTGATATAAACATGACAAGTATTATGTGTGTTAACCACCAGTTCTCACAATGACCTTATGAAGTAGGTTTTGTTTTTATCCTCAGTTTGTAAATGGGGAGGCTAGGTCAACTTGCACAAAACCACAGAGCTAGAAGGTAGTGGAGCTGGGATATAAAGTCAGACATCTGTCCCTAGAGTCTTTAATCACTGTACTGTTTCTTAAATGTGGGCTGACTGAAGCTGAGGTTTTTAAGCAGCAAGCCATAGCCCATCACTTCAGTGGGTCTTTTAAAACTGAAATTGGATAGAATTGAACTGAAAATACCAGAGTCTGTTGCAGTAAATGTGGAAAGCAATGTTTCATAGAACTACCATCCTGTTTCAGTCATTTATATGAGACATGTGGATTGGGTTACAATGTAAAATGTATTTTTTTTTTCCTTACTGTGGGTTGAAGTAAAAGATCTTTGCAAGCCCACTAACCTCAAGTATGGTTGATGTTATTTTTGTAATTATCATATCAACAATATTGAATTGACTAGTCTCTTAAATTTTCTTTACAAAATAAATTGTAAAAAAATTGAGAAAGATCATTTAAATTTTAACTACCATTTAAAAACTTGAGGGCGCCTGGGTGGCTCAGTCAACTGAGCCTCCAGTTCTTGGTTTCGACTCAGGTCATGATCTCATGGTTTGTGAGTTCGAGCCCCACATCAGGTTCTGTCTGATAATGCAGAGCCTGCTTGGAATTCCCTGTCTCCCTGTCTTTCTGCCCTTTCCCGACTCATGCTTGCTCTTGCTCTCTGTCTCTCTGTCTCTCAAAATAAATAAACTTAAAAAATAATAACAGTAAAATAAGATAAAAACTGGAAGTGCCTGGGTGGCTGAGTCAGTTAAGCAGCTGACCCTTGATCTCGGCTCAGGTCATGATTTCACAGTTCCTGAGATCGAGCTCAGTATCAGATGTGCAGCCTGATTGGGATTCACTGTCTCCCTCTCTCTCTGCCTCTCCCCTTGCTTGTGCATGCATGCTCTCTCTTTCTCTCTCTCTCTCTCTCTCTCTCTCCCCCCCCTTCAAAAATAAATAACTAAACATTGAAAAAATAAAAATTTGACCAACTAAAAGTAAAAAAGCAAAACATGATCAAACAAAAATGCTAGAACTAGGCAAAAAAATTAAGACCACAAAAATTAATAATTGAGAGTTGATATGGGGAAGCATTTATCTTTCAAATAAAACAAAAGTTTGAACATCATAGTCCAAACTGTTCCCATCTTTGGTCCTTTTTGTGCTTTTTAATATTTTCAAGCAAGTAAAGTTGGAGTAATGCATTTTTAGGTTTAATTTTTCAGGTAAGATAATGTAGTTGTAATAACCTCCCTTTTTGGAAAACTGATGATGTTAGGTGACAATTAAGTTTTATAATGTACTTTTTTTGTTTGCTACTGTGTGGTAGATTTTTTCCATATTTTATTTTTATTTTTTTAAATATTTATTTATTTTTGGGAGAGTGAGAGAGGGACAGAGAACGAGCGGGGGAGGGGCAGAAAGAGAGGGGGGACAGAGGATTGGAAGCAGGCTCCGCTCTGACAGCAGAGAGCCAGATGCAGGTCTTGAACTCTCAAACAAAGCCCATGAACGGAGCCATGAGATCTTGACCTGAGTCGAAGTCAGGGGCTTAAACGACTGAGCCACCCAGGTTCCCCTGCTTGTTTTAAAAATAATCTATGCTCCTTTTTCAATTTATCACCAGGAGTTATACAAATGGAAAAGATGAATTAGCATTTGTGACTTTGTTTCTTCTTTGTGTGTATGATTAATTAAGACCTTGTTTGAAATGTTTTGACAGGATATTGAACTTCAAAATTTAAACTTTTGTCATCACTTCTTTGTGGAAATAAATAAGTAAAGGTTGAAGAATGAATGAAAGCATTCATTATGTAAGCTAAATGTGTTCATTAGGTTAATTGTTAAGATTATTGCTGATTTCCAAGAGCAGGTTATTGATTAATTATAATGACCTCCTCTACCATCTCCGAAACATCTCTTTGTGGTTTGGTTTGCCCTGTAACTTCAGGAATTATAGTTCAATATTTTATGAGTTACAAGATTTCCAGAGGGAATCTGAAAAGTATGCAGGATTTTTCTCTGCGGAAAACACAGAACATCATTTCTGACATTTCTGACATATCTAAGTGACAGGATTTCTCCAAACAGATATAGCACACAGCATATAGTAATAGCATACAATATACTTTTACATCGCTTTGGACAAGGAATCTCTATGTAACAGGATTCTATGTGACCAGTTGCACAGACTTTTCACTTGGTACAAATTGTGTAAAATGAGATCCTTTTAAGCATTTACTTTAAAGTAAGAGTCTCCAGGGGTGCCCAGCTGGCTTAGAAGGAGCAGTGTGCGACTCTTGATCTCGAGAGCACAAGTTTGAGCCCCACGTTGGGGGTAGAGATTACTTTAAAAAATAAATAAAAACTTAACAAAAAAAAAATTAAAAAATAACAGTCTCCTTTCTTCCAAAGGAAGAAATTTTAGACCTACATTATAGTTGCCTTTTTTGACAAAAATACCCCATAAGCTAACTTTTTCGGTCCTCTTTTCAGGCCTAAGATGACTACTTTGATAAACATTTTTTTCAGTCTTTTCTAAATCCGAGTTGAGTTAGTTATATGTTTATTTGTTTGCTTTTTAAGAGTAAGGATTTATCAGCTCTACCTGTGGATAACTATAAAGTTTCATTCATTCATTCATTCACTTATGTATTCAACAAATATCTATTGAACACCTAATCTACAGGTAGGCAGCATAGGTAACTTAGTGGAATAAAAAGACATATTCTGCAGTATTTCTGATCTTCAGAAGTTTATCAGTCAGCTGGGGAGAGAAGATGTATAGCCAACACCATGTTAAGTTGACATAAATCCTTAACATTTCCTGCCATCCCTAGAGGATGCTGCATCAGTTCAGCCCATCACCAGCTCTTCCTTTGTTTTCTGCAGTAGTCACTCTAACATACCTCCTTGTCCCCAGTCTTGCCTGGTTTTAATCTATTCTTTAAATGATCTTCCTTAAATGCTAATCTAATTACCCCCTTTGCCAAAACCCACTGGTGATTTGCTGTTGTCCTCAGGATAAAGTCCAAATTGTCAAACTCCCTGGATCTCTTTTTGCTTCTCTCTTTTATCCCATTTCTAAGTATTCACCTTCCTCAAATATATTTTGCAGCCATTCTGAATTCCTTTCAGGAGCCCTAATTCACCATGCTTCTCTTCCCTCATGTTGTTCTCCCTGCTTGGAATGTCATCTGTAGATATGTGTTCATTAATTCATTTATTCACTCAAGACATCTTTTATTAAGGATGTCTACATGTCCAGTCCTGTGCACCACCCTGGAAGATGGTGTGCAAACATCAGAGAATGAACAGATGAACGGGATGGGGGGAGGCAGGGCACAGTCACCAAGGGCCTTGCCTGATGTGTTAGCGGGTTGGGGTTTCTTTTCTTGTGAGATATGGGGTCACCACCGAAGAATTTTCTTTCTTTTTTTTTTAACTTTTTTTTTTTAATGTTTATTTATTCTTGAGAGAGAGACAGAGTGTGAGTGGGGAAAGGGTAGAGAGAGAGGGAGACACAGAATCTGAAGCAGGCTCCAAGCTCCAAGCTGTCAGCACAGAGCCAGACACAGGGCTTGAACTCACTGAATGTGAGATCACAACCTGAGCCGAAGTTGGTTGCTTAACTGACTGAGCCACCCAGGCGCCCCAAGAATTTTCTAAAAGTGGAAGGGCGCCGTCACATTTGTTTTTTAATGTTTATTTATTTTTGAGAGACAGACAGACAGACAGAGCATGAGCAGGGGAGGGGCAGACAGAGAGGGAGACAGAATCTGAAGCAGGCTCCTGGCTCGGAGCTGTCTGCACAGAGCCTGATGGGGGGCTCAAACTCACAAGCCATGAGGTAATGACCTGAGCTGAAGTCAGATGCTCAACCTACTGAGCCACCCAGGTGCCCCTCCACCCAGAGCCTGCCTAAGATTCTCTCTTTCTCTCCCTCTGCCCCTCTCCCCAACTTGTCCACCCCCCCAAATAAAAAAAAAAAAAAGAAATATTTTCAAATACTTAAGCTTTCATGAATCTCAGGATAGGTTAAACATTTTCAAATATTAAAACACATTAAAATGCTTTTTTACAGAATATGTTCAATAGGCTGGATCTCTATAGGCAAAGAAAAGTGTCATGAAATAATTATCTGGATAAATCAGGAAGAAATCATTTTAATTTGAATTTATACTGTCATACATTTTCTGTGTTCATGGAGTTATGGCTCAACCCAAATATCCCTGCATGTAAGTATTTTTAAAATCTTGCTATTTATTTTTTTTATTTTTACATTATTTTTTATTTTTATTTTGAAACAGAGAGAGAGAAAGAGTACAAGTGGGGGGGGG